TACATTTTTAAAATCGTTTTTGATTGAATCTGCAGCATCTAATATTAATGCTGTTGGTTGTAATAAAGCTTTATTAATTTTTTGCATATCAATTTGAATACTATTGAAGATAAATTCAAAATCTTTTGTTTTTTTTTCATTTGTACATATTGCTAAACCAAATGGATGAAATGCTTTATTCAAATCAATTGTTCCAATAACTAGTACTGGAAAACCCTGCCAAATTAATTTATAAGTAGCATCAGCATGTATATGTTGTGACATAGATACAATGTTGAGCAAATGAATAGATGATATAAAGATACGAAATTTATTTTCACCATCATCTTCTACATCTTCATCATCTTTATATTCTTCATCATTATATAATATCTTGTATAATACCACAAAAGATTTATTTTCATCAAGTGGAATATCTTGATTATTTTCATATCATTGTTTCAATTCACATAAACTTATTTTATTTGCATCAAATTTCTTTTTCTTTTCTATAATATGCAAGATAATTGTTTAATTGTGCTAACATTGGCATGTTTATTCCTTTTGATTGAAGTGCTCGAAGAATTAGTTTTGGTTTCTTTATACTATTAATCAAATAAATTTTCAATGGATTTTTTAACATATTCATCAATACCACAAATTCTATCATTACAATGTTCGTGTGCAGCTTCCATTTGATAAATGGTAGCTTTATCACTATCTGCATAGTATAATAGATAAATACTTGCAGGACATTGAGGACCACAACGTTTGACATTATTGCATCTGAATAAACTTGTCTTCCATTTTGTGTACCGTTTGTGTAATATTCTGACCACAAGGGGGAAAGTGCAGGTTTAGAACCCCTAGCACCTCAGCACCATCTCAGTACCTTTTGGTACCAGAAGCTAGATCATTCATAATGAAAATGATTTACAAAAAGTAGTTTTATTTCCAATAATAGACATTAGGCTTTACTTCAAGTTTACAATAATATGACAACAATAAGTTCCAAGAGACGAGTATCAAACTTATTTTATAATGTTAAATACAACAAAAAAAAAACTTTTTCTGAAAAGAAAATTTGTTATTGTTCAGATTTTCGAACGCGAAGTAATCGATCACTAGATAACCGACTTCTACTGTTTGACAGCAGCCAACATGGCGTTTGCTTACGTAAATATTTTAATGAATCAGCAATACGAATCTGAAAATATTTGTTGGCTAGTTGTAGATTAATTTTATCGTCTATTCGGCAATCGTGAAAATGTTGTCGTTCTACATCAGAAAGATCGCTTGCCAAAATATTACCTTCTTATTCTTCATCAGTATTATTCGTCGATAATTGATCTTTATCATCAACTACTTCTGAATCATTTGGTTCACCTTGTAATTCATCTTCATCACTATCTTCATCAAGATTAATACCTTCTGTATAATCTACTACCTTTGACGAAGATTTGCTTATATTAATTTTTATAAACTGACTTAATTCAGGTAATGTGTATGTATTTTTATTAATCAATAGCCTGATCATGTTGACCATTGTGGCATATTTTTTAGCTGATTCGAATGCATTTTCTATAATCTTTTCAATATCAGATTCTGTTAAATTCAGTTGTTTGATAGGATTTGTTGAATAATTATATATTTCTTCGTCATTCTTATGATGTTGTAGAAATTTAAAATTATAATCATTTATTTGTCCTTCACGACTTTTAATTGCATTGATAATCGATATTTTTTCATATCTCTTTATAAACGACTTTACAGTACAATTGGTGATTGATGAATAAGGACCTGATAAAGCACGAAAGACATGAAAAGTGTTTTCACATGCCTGTGAATTAAAAATATATGTATTAGGTGCATCAATAGGTCATTTTTTTTTAATTGCTAATAGAGTTATATAAAGTAGTGTGTGGGCATTTATCTCAATGCACCAAATGTTGACTTCGTAATAAAACTATTTGCTCTAATTTTTTTTATTGATTCTGAATTATCATCGTCACTACTATTTTTTACTTTTACATTTTGTATCTATGCCCACTAAACTCGACATGTAAATACTACTATCCATATATTATACAATCGTTCTTCAATCTTTGTTGATTTATCAATTAATCCGGTTATAATCAAGTGTAACAACGATAAATATACATAAGTTCTTTTATAATTTTCATTATTATTTAACAATTTTAAAACTGTTTCAGAAGATATTCGTCTACAAGATGCAAAATTTTGTTGATCTGTAAGACTAACGTCACATTTAATTAAATTATGCTCAAGTTTAGTTTTTAATTGAATAAAATTCATCAAGTGTTGAATATTAATTGAATAATCATCTATCTTCATCGATACTACTTCAGAAAGAAGTCTATTTCGAAATTTTGTTGCGACATGAATTGGTTCTTGCATAAAAAGCAAAATTTGTTGCTCTTTCATAAAAAACCACGACCATTACTAGGATATCTTTATATACAAAATTATCATTATGTTTAAATAGATTTAAATTAGGTAATTCAGCAAAAAATCGAATATATAATCTCATTGTTCTGAGATAACGTGGATCACCATCAGAACTAAAACCTATTACACGTATACCCTGAATAAAACCCTGATTGTAGATATATAACCATCTCTTTGAAATATCTGTTGTTGTAAATTTGTTGTTTGATTCGTAAACTGACAAAATTAATGGAGAAGCGGATGGTACTACTGATTGTACCATATGCATGTTAATAAATTTTAACCTATTAAAATTACTAAACCACATTTTTAATTCGTCGAAATTTTTCGTTTGGAAAAAATTTGGTTGTGGCATTCCGTCAATTAAAGGTGATGAAAAATCAATAAAAGAATTTAATTATGAATCATAATCAATACGAAAAATGGAACTGATACAATCTTCAGAAGAAAATACATAATTACAATTATTTGATTGTGAGTATTCTTTTAATAATTTAAATCGAAATTCACATTCAATTATTCTCACTTCTTTTTTTCTCATTAATGATTCTATATTAGATATATGAGGTAATGTAGCACGTAAATTTAATCGAAGAAATTCTTAACAATTTCTTCCACTAAGAATAAGCAATAATAAAGCAAATTGTTGAATATGATTATCATAACCAAATTTATTCTTCGCTTTTTTTAAAATTTTCAAAAATATTTTTAATCTATGGAATAAGCATAGACACATTAATCTCATTTGATGAGCCAGACTAGTACTTTCATAATTCTATTAGTTTTTTAAAAATATCATTTTCAATATGATCATGTGTTAATTCGAGATTTTTAACTAATGAGTTTTTCTTCGATTTTACTAATAATAACAAACGTTCAAGTCAATTTCGAAAATCTAGTCGAAGATGGAAATTTCCATCAACTGACACAAATCCAAGTGCTTTTTTAAAATAATTTAATCCGACAATATCAAAATCAAGTATATGTATTAATTGATCTACTGTTATTGATGATAAAGAAGACATATCTTGGATAGCTTGTATTCGAAAAAGATCGCATAAATCTTTATTTAAAGCATTTTCTAAAAAAAACGTAGAAGTTATCATGACTTAAATTCATCATATCATCTGTAAATTCATCAAGTTGAAAAATATCCATTATTAGTGTTATAGAAGTATTATTCTTTGCAGTAAAATACTGTTGATTGTAAAGCTAAATACAGTAAAACCTCTATTAGTGAACACCTCCTTATTCTGAACACTTTAAGGTCCGACGGAGCGATTTTTGCTGGAAATATACCTCTATATTGTGAACACCTCTCTATTCTGAACATGAACACTTCTTTTCCATCCCTCTAGCTACTGTAACCTCTGTAATGTGAACACACGTGCACATTTTTTCTCTGTCTCTACCTACTGTCTATCATTTATCTCTGATGTACTACCACTAATAACACATTGTGTATTAGACTAGACTACTGTGTGTATAAAAAAAAATGTCATCACGATATGATCTTACTTTGCAACAGAAAATTGAATTGATTAATGAATCAGAATCAAAATTAACTGATGTTTATATTAATTCAAAAGCAAAAAGACAAACAACATTAGAAGATTTTTGTAAATAAAGCTAAACCTTGTCTTGTATCTGGAAATTTTTCAACTAAAAAAAATTAAATGAAAATAACGAATAAAAGAATGAATAGCTTCCACTTAACTCAAGACTAGTGCGACAGTAAACATTCTGGATTTTTTCCTTCATTTCGCAGCAAAATGTGCGTTACCTCTCTGAAGTGAATACCTCCTTATAGTGAACGCTTTTGAAAAGTCCCAAAAGTGTTCACATTAAAGAGGTTTTACTGTATGATAAAAATACAGAAATCAATTTTGTTCAATATTAAATTAAGAGTTACTTTATTCTAAATCAAAAGAGATATAATCATAAGTAGTTTAATTTCAAATACAAAAATTATCATCTAAGTTCTTTTCATCTCGCTGTAAGACAAATAGAATACAGAAAAAAAGACCAAAAATCTTCTTTTTTAACAAAGAAAGAAAAACAAAGTTAAATACGAAGAAAAAGTAAAAAATATCTAACATGAAATTGAATAAGGAATAAAATACATATTATATTTTCATATGTTTAGGTAAAAGAAAAATATGAATTACTAAATAATTTTCTATCATAATCATAAATTTCCTATTCTTGAGTTTCATTTGTGTTATTTTTTGACGATAGTCGTTTCTTTTTCACCATCACTCTTATAATTTTTGAAGACAGTTTTATCGATAGTGATCGGAATCGCTTCGAAGCTGCATGGGTTGATATTTTGTTCTTGTTTGACATCGTATTTAATGAACTTGAAGAACCAGCTGATGTATTTGATTTACGTGCAACTGAGTTTTCATTAATAATTAAATTATTTTCTTTTTCATGTTTCTAAATATATAACAAAAACTCGTAGAGATATTTTTATCATGAGAAACACTTACCATTTTCGAAAGTTTTATACATTGTTGTTCTATGATATATCGATAAAATGACGACAATTTGAAAAAACTTAGTGAAAGAAATGGTAGTTTAAAACGTTGATGACATTGACATGTTAAAATACAAGCAAATGTATTGTGTAATGATTTATTGATTTCCAGAAAATAATGTATACTTTCATCCAAAGATAAATCATTATTATTATTAATTGTACTCCACCATTTGTTAATTCGTTCTTCAATATCAGCTTTATAATCAATTTCATTCAACTTTTTTTGTATTGGTGGTAATCTTGATCGTATTGATGATATATCACTTGTTGATGGAGTAACTGATGTTGATACTGGTAGAGGTGGTTCAATTTGTGGTTGTGTTTGTTCGGTAGATGTTGTTGTATTACAATTTGAAGATGAAGGGTGTGGGTGTGATGAGAAGATTTACACTTACACCCACAACGACAGGAAAGATTGGTCCAAGTCCAACCTGTTAGGTTACGTGGTAGACGTCGACCAAGTAATCGTCCAAGAAGTCAAGTACAACGGCGTAGACGAGGTCCACGACAAATTCATTTATATGATTTTATGCCAACTGAATTACGTTAGCCTTCATCAAATCTTCCACCTGAATTTAATATAGCTACAATAACAGTCCCGACAACAACGACAACAATTACTACTACTATGAACGTTCCACCAGATGCATTACCGCAACGTGAAATATTTGCTCGAAAGAATACAACTCAACCTTTTACAGTGAATGAAAATAATCAAAATCAACAGGTACAACAACAACAACAACAACAACAAAATCACCGACAACGTAAAACTACGTCTTAATTTAGACGTCGACAACGTCGTAATAATCGATTTGTTGTATTAGCTGATGAAAATGATAATATATCTGACGTAGAAGTAGAAGTGAATGATGAATCGATACCGATAAATATTAATAAGAAAACAAGAAAAGATAAGGATAAGAAAAAGATTCGTCGATATCTTGAACCAAATCGTATATTAAAATGGTTAGAAGAACATTCAAGAAGTTCTAAAAATGCTATAAGTCGTCGTGATAATCAAGCATATGTGTTAGCTTCAACTTCAATTTATGATGAATGGGTTCGAAATAATTATGAATTACAAGTTTGGCAAGCATATTTAAAAATGGGTACTGAACACAAACATTGGGCTAAAGAAGTCGTTCGACGTACAAAAAGACGAGATGATGTAATCAATACTCGATTTGTTGAAAAGAAAATTAATCGATTAACAACTGCTATTGCTGAAGCATGTGCTACTATTTCAGATTTATAAATTCAATTATCCACGTATTGGATACAAACTATATCTGAAAATACAAATCAAAGATTAGCTCAAACAACTGCTAATTTAGTAGCCAAGCAATTATCTGTCGAAAGAGGACGTCAAACAACAACTGCAGGAACTGTAGGTACAGATACAGATGATGAATTAGATACAGAAACTGCAGGAGCTGTTCCGACGACAACAACAACTACTTTTAAAAATTATGTACGTGAACTAGTTGAACGTATTGAAATATATATATTAGAATATATTCACTTTTGTACTCAACATGTTAAAAAGATGGCTCAAAGTCGAATACAAATAGCTAAAGCTCAAATGGAAGAATTTAAAGCTTTAGAAGATTTCGAACAAATAGCCACTCCAGCCCAATGGAACACTCATTTCTTGCTTAAACCTAAAGTGAAGCTATGGTTAACTAAAAATAAAAATTATCAAATACTATCAAAACGTGTTGAATTAGATATGCCTCCAAAAATTATTGATAAAGTTGATTTTTCTTTTAAAATTGATGAATCAATCATAAGTCAAGATGAAACACAAGCCATGTATAATCAAATGCGTCAAATTACGAAAGATTTCCGAACTCAAGCAATGACATTATATGTTCAATCAGCTGCTCGAGAAAATGAAATCTTATCGAATGAAATTAAAGGTATTATTGAAAGATTTCCTCAAGAAAACGATGATGGATTTGATGCTGAACCTGGTTATGCAGCTTTTAAGCAATATCATGAATTACGAGAGAAAAGAATGAAATTAGAAATTGAACAATCGCTTTATTTTTTATTCGAACAGCGAGTCGAGAGTGAAACCAACAATCCAGAAGAGGAAGTAGTCGCTCCGACTCTCATACGTTCGCTGGGCGAGGATTTCTTGCTCCAGCAATAATTAATGAAGCAAATATGCGATTAACTGAAGAAGAACATCAATTATTAAAATTCGGACCCAAATTTATATTTAATGATTCAAAAACAGCAGCTCGACGACGTATAACTGGGTTGGCTACTTTGAAACGAAAAATAGAAAAATGTTTTCTTCGTAAGAAAGTTAGTCCCGGTCGTCCACTTCAACAATTTATCGTCGAATTAGATGTTCTTCTTCAAACGTTACATAATATTTCTATAACAAGTAAAAATTTAAATAAAAGTTTAATAATTGGAAGTCAAATGAATCAAAATGACATTATTGAGTTAATAAATAGTCAAGCAAGTCAATCACAAGTTTTAAATGGAGTAAAAGTTAAGAAAAAGAAAAATTATGGAAGATTAGTTAAGAGACTAAAGCATAAATTTAGATTGGCTAATGTTATGTTACAAAAATCAGATAAATCAAAAGTATTCCATTTAGGTAAAATTGAAGATTATCGAAAGAAATCAAACGAGTACATGGAAAAAACTCAAGCATATAAATGTCTTGGTAAAGAAGATCCATTACCTGATTTGATTAAAAGGACAAATAAATATTTGTTAGATTTACGATTAGCTAAATGGATTACCCAAAAACATTATGAATTATTAAGTAAAAAACCAAATGAAGTAGAACTGGCTCATTTATATTATTTACCAAAAGCTCATAAACCTGGCACTCGTCTGCGCCCAATTATAAGTGGACTTTAGCATCCTACAATTAGAATTTCAAAATTTCTGGATAATTTATTAAGACTATTATTTGACAAAATGGCCCAAGAGACGACAGTTACTTCGGGCTTTGAACTGGTCAAAAAATTGCAAAAGTGGTCAATTCTGAATATGAATGGAAATACTATATTTTGTACTATTGATGTAGTAGATTTATATACAATGATTCCACAAGTAGAAGGAGTACTATCATTGAAGAAAATGTTAGATTATTTGAAAATGAAGAAAGTGGGTAGTTTAAAAATAGAAACTATTATTAGATTAAGTCGATTTGTAATGCAAAATAATTATTTTTCTTATAATGGCCAATTTTATCACCAGATTAGAGGCGGAGCTATGGGATCCCCGTTAACTTTAACTATGGCAAATTGTTATATGTTTTTCTTTGAAAGACAAATAGCCAAGCAAATTAAGAATAGCGGTGGACTCTACTTTCGGTATATTGATGATTTATTTATTGTGATTAACTGGCCCGCCAGACATTTATTAAAACAGATCGACAAATGGAAGAATTTTGATGATAATATTAAGTTAAATCCAAATATTGACTCACTTGCGATCTTTCTTGATTTATATATGGAAAATCGAGATAGTATACTATTTACTACTGTTTATCAAAAGCCATCTTATGAGCCTTATTATTTGCCATTTAATAGTATTCATCCATTACATATGAAAAAGAATATACCGTTTACGATGTTACTTCGAGTGATTAGGTATTGTTCTACATTCCAAACATATCTGGATGAACGTGAAAAATTACGTATGGCCTTATTACTTAATAAATATCCGAATAAATTAATTGAAGAACAGTTTAATAATGTTCTTTTGAAATGTAATATTGATCAGCCATTAACAAATTTCAATTATGATAAATATCGTCAAAAGGTAATAGATTCACTCATAAAAGAAAAAGCTACGATTGATTATGAAGCAGTTATGTTTATACATTTTACATATTGTTCTACCATGAAAACTTTTCCTGCTAAATTTCATTTACTTTGGAATAAGTACTTTCAGGAATCTCCGATTAACGAAGTTAGACCTGTTCTTGGTACTCGAAATGTGAAGAATATACAAAGACGTCTAGCCTTTAATATGTTATGAATTGTTATAATTTATATATCTGTTTAATTATTATAACATATTATATTTGGCTTATGTTGAAGATGACTGAAATTAATTCCTACCTTTAATGAGCAGACCTTAATAAACAAATGTTTTATGTTATTAAAGTACCAATATATATTATGTTATTAAAGTATCAATATTAATTATTTGTTTTATCAACTACGACCCATTTCAGACAATTAATATGGATTATTATATATATAATATCTTTATTGCCCATACCTTCAGAGAAATGAATAAGTGATATATGAAGTTTTACCTGAATCACTAATAATTATATTCTAATATAAGGATTATTTGAAAAACACCCGAAATTACTTAATATTCATTAACTAAACGTTGGCTTATTCGTTATATTGGAAATATATTAGTGAACGATGATGGCTTTTTAGCTTGCTTGGCATACATACCTCACATATATATATAAAAGTTCACCATCACGTACACGTACTAATATATTGACAACAACAATCAATTAGTGTAAGCGCTGTAAAGAAATTATATATTTCATCAAACAGAATTTATTGAAAGAATTGAATCACTGATAATTTATATCCTAATGTTGTTCAGTCAACATTCGATGTTTAAAATTATTTGAAAACTAAATAACAATTGCAAATGGAAGATAATGATACTATTGAAACTAGACAATTGGAAATGGAAGACAATGATACTATTGAAGTTTATTAAGTAGTTTACCATCACTTACACGTACTAATATATCGACAACAACAATTATAATTAGTTGTTAGTTATATGTGTTTTTATAGAAGTTCTTGTATGAGCTCTTAAATTTGTTCAAATTTTATCACTTGTGATCAATTATTAATGGAAATTGAAGTTGATTCAATGTTTTGTCCGCTACTAAACGTCGAGTTATTAAAGTCGACGTTTAGTTTGAATTGAATGATATCTTCAAAGATAAATAAGTGATATTAGTATAGTAAATAGTATCACATTGAATAATATCTTCAGTTTATGGCGTCAATGGACACGTATGGTTGAACGATGTTATCCTTATTTACCATTAGTTTCAGTAATTAACATTTAAACTTAAAGAAAAACGACAAGAATTAGCCAATAAACTTTTAGCAATATTTAATCAAGATGTTTTTTCTTCTCAACTATCAGATAAAATCAGTGTAATATAGAGTGGTCGTTTAACAGCTACGGCTGGTCATTGTACAACTCAACGAACAACACATTATGAAATATTCGATGTCGGAATTTATCCATTAATTAAACGTCGAGTTATCCAGTATCTAAAAAATTACTATGAAACATTCCACGTTGGCAATTATCTGTTAGCTAAACGTCGAGTTATTTAATATATAGACAAATAAGTGATATTATCATACCTTCAGAGACAAATAAGCCATATTGTCCATATCTTTAAAGACAAATAAGTGGTATTATCCAGGTGATGATAATTAATAAAATTTATTAAAATTTATTAAACAAAATTTATTGATCAATCAAATATTCTTTCATTTGGTGGTTATTAATTAATTTCATCAAGCAAAATTTATTGATCAATCAATTATTCTTCCAATTGAATGATATCTTCATGGATAAATAAATGATATTAGTATACTTGATAATATCATGCCTTTTAGTTTTATTGTTTGATTAACTTTTGTTTTGTTTTTATTCTGTCTTTTAATTTTTATCCTTTATTGTGCTCATTAATTTTCATTTTTTTCTGATTTTGTTGTGCCTCTTAATTTTTAATTTTTATCTTTAAAATTAGTTTTTGATTTTTGCTTTTAATGTAATGCAGAGCCCTGATGAGTATTTCAATATTTCAATAAAAAATACGAAACGCGTCGGCGAAAATAAACTCTGCATTATCTTTTTATTATTTCATAAAGCGCGAATATTCAATTTGTTAAATTAAATACGACTTCATCGGTTGCTGAAAAGCAAGAGTTGAGACTAGCAGATTGATTTGTATCTGAGAGATATAGATTGATCTGTTTCTATTTAAATTAGAAACTATTATTAGATTAAGTCGATTTGTTATGCAAAATAATTATTTTGCTTATGATGGTGAATTTTATCATCAGATTCGAGGTGGAGCTATGGGATCTCAGTTAACCTTGACTATGGCTAATTGTTATATGTTTTTCTTTGAAAGAAGAATAGCCAAGCAAATCAAGAATAGCGGTGGACTCTACTTTCGGTATATTGATGATTTATTTATAGTTATTAATTGGTCTGTTCGACATTTAATGAAACAAATTGAACTTTGGAATCAATTCGACGAGAACATTAAATTAAATGCAAATTTTGGTTCATTTACGACTTTCCTTGATTTATATATGGAGAATCGAGATGGTATTCTATTTACCACAGTTTATCAAAAACCATCCTATGAACCATATTATTTGCCATTTAATAGTATTCATCCATTACACATGAAAAAGAACATACCATTTACAATGCTCTTTCGAGCAATTAAGTATTGTTCTACATTTCAAACATATTTGGATGAACGTGAGAAATTAAGAATGGCCTTATTACTTAATAGATATCCGAATAAAATTATTGAACAACAGTTTAATATTGTTCTATTAAGATTCAATATTGATCAGCCATTGACTGCTATTAATTACGATAAATATCGTCAGAATGTGTTAGATTCACCCTATACAGAACCTATAGAAATTGATTATGATAAAGTTATGTTTATTCACTTTACTTATTGTTCAAGTATGAAAGGATTTCCTTTGAAATTTCATACAATATGGAATAAATATTTTGGTGAATCTCCGATTAATGAAATTCGACCTATACTTGGTACCCGTAATGTTAAAAATTTACAGAGACGATTAACAAATATTATTTAAATGACATATATATTATTCGGTTATGAATTAATTAAATTCTTATAATTTAAATTAATTAAATACTCATATTTAAAGAAATTATCAAATATTCGATGTTAAAAATTATCTGTCAATTAAACGTCGAGTTATCTAATATATTAAAAATTTGTTTGGTTAATGGGTATGGTATATAATACACATAGTTATATGTAACACAAGTTTAATTTAAATTCGTATCACGCGACCTATGTTTTACCACCCATGTCACACTTGAAAAATTTAAAATTGCACAATATCTCTATTATCCTTATCTTCATAAACAAATAAGTGATATTATGCTTTTGGTATATTCTTATCTTCAAAGACAAATAAGTGATATTATGTTTTTGTGGTTATCAATCAATTTCATCAAGCAAAATTTATTGATCAATCAATTATCTATTTAACTTATTGATCATTAATCATTAATGAAAAAAGATGATGAAAAAACCATTTTTTGAATCACTTTCTGAATGTATATCATTTGAAGATAAACATTCTGATGTTAAACCTTATTTTATTTGATCAGCATTTAAACTTAAAGAAAAACATTCTTCTTAACTATTAGATAAAATCAGCGTAGTATGAAGTGGTTGTTCAACAGCTACTGCTGGTCATTGTACAACTCGACGAATAATACGCACTGCTTTTCTGATTTACTCGAATGCCGTTTTGATACTCTTTTAATGTGTTATGCAGCCGTGACTTTAATTAATGGACACGTATGGCTGAATGATATCATTCTTATTTATCCTTTATCAATATCTTCAGAGACAAATAAGTGATATTATTCATATCTTCGGAAACAAATTAGTGATATTATCTAGCTGAAAATTTCACCATCACCTACACGTACTAATATATCGACAACAACAACAATATAAATGATGATGAAACTTCCAAACAATTGGAAATGGAAGAAAATGGAAGATAATGATATTATTATAATTTCCTTTCGTGAAACTTCTAAACAATTTGAAATAGAAGATAATTATATTATTGAAGTTTGTTAAGTACAAGTCGGTGGTTATTCTGTGTAATATTTTCATATAATTATGTCTTATGTCTGTAAATATCAGTACAACAAAACTTATATATGTTTGTGTGAATTTATTATTTATTACTAACTGATATTAATGGACTTTATATTGAACTTACAATAAGAAACTTATATCTCATTAAACATACTAACTGATATTAATGGACTTTATATTGA